TGTTGTCTCGAGGCTCAAGACCTTTCTGCCAGGTCCCAAGAGATGTTGGTCAGACCTGTGTGTGCAGGCACACATGAACCGTGGCCTGTACAGCTGAGTCTGCCATTGCCCAGCTATAGAGGCAGGCTTTTACATACGAAGCGGACAGATTTTGATGCCTCTGATACAACAAAAGTTGGAGGCAGGTTTGAGAGGGTTATTAAAGAATTCTTGTATTTCACATCAGACCATAATTTTGAGTCCTATGAATTGCACCAGTCACAAAATCATTCTGTGCTGAACTTTATATAGTAATGTAGTCCCAACTGATCAAAGAAGATGCAATGAAGGTCAGACATATTTTTGGACTCATTCATTGAGCATGTTTTTTTATTTTCTGAAAACAGGAATGTTTCTATTTGGTGTCTTAATGTTTCCAGCATTTGAGGCATGTCCACAATATTGCTATGACGTAGAATCCATGACTTGCAACGGCACAACAGTCAATCCACCGAGTTGCAACTGTTGCCTGGCTGGAAAGGGCTGCACCCTTCACCTTGCTAATGGAGAGTCAATATATTGTTAACTAGTAAATGAACGTTTTCGAGCTTGCTAATGTTGTGTCTTAAGGAGCTTGCCTAAATAATGAAAGTCTTTCTGAAGTTGTGTACAATCTTCAGTACTACAATGTATTGAATAAGTTTGATCAATAAAGTCTATTTAAGTTACAAGAAGTTTTGTTCATTCATATTTGCATAATCCTGAAAAACTGTAAATTTTTTCTAGCAAGAAAAGGTGGGGAATTGTTACAAAGAGAAAACTGAGGACGTAGTTGTTCTCTTTCTAATCAGTTGGATCCCAACAGTAATTTTCCCTTCCGATATACATAGACCAATTGTCAAAGTGAAAAATAGTATAATAATAATAATAATAATAATAATAATAATAATAATAATAATAAGCCAGTTCGCTGTGGTGTGAACTTAGTTCATTTATGCTGCAGTCTTGTAGAATAACCTGTCAAAAATATTATTGCAGGTTTGACAAAAAACTCTTGCTGAATCTTAAATTGTCCCTTTAAACATCCTTATCAATCTTAGTGGATTATTTTAATTTCTAGTTTTGAATTTAGATCAGGTTGACTTTGACTATAGTTAGTGGACACGTTTCTGATTTAAATATATCAGTAACGTGCCTTGGATTAGATTCATTTTTAAATAAGGTCTGACGTGCGTAAAATGTTTAAAATTTACAAACAAATGATGGTAGACTTTGGACTCTGGACATTTATTTGTGAACATATCTGGTTAAAAGCTTTCTAATGAGGTTTCATATGGTGAAAGAGAACATAGATACTACGTTCAAGTTTGTTGCTATCCATTTATGAAAGTCACAATACAATTTTCAACGGCAACGGGGCGGGGTAGGGTTGGGACAACTTGACCCGTTTGAGACAAGGTGGGCGGGATTCTTGCGCGGTTTACTACCCCGTTTAATTTTTTTATTTTATTTTTAAGTTTTTGATAATTTACTTTTATTGTCCTCGTTCATTAGATTTAGACAAATAATTTTAGTTGTCATTTTCTATTAGAACTAATGCAATTTCGTGAAATTTTCCATTTAAAGTATTGAATTCTAAAAAAAAAAAAAATTAAAAATTAAAAAAAAAAATAAACAGGCGCTAGTGGCGCCCATTACCCTTCCCCGCTCCGAAATCACCCCNGAATAGACATTACCAATAATTATAATATATTTCACAAGAAACTTCTCTATGGTTTTGTTGATCATTAAAAGTTAGGAACATTGCAATCTAACAGTAGGTTTTACAAAAGTTCAACACTTCACCAATCATAGAACTTGTTTGTTCAAAAGTAGGTACCTTGTATTTTGCAGATTACTTGTCTTCATATGCGAAAAATGTGTACAAATAACAAAAAACCTATGCATTATTCCTTATTAATTTGGGTCGACTACTTGAAGTTTACAGCACTGCTTGTTATGTCCATTTATAAGTCGTCTACCATAACATCAGACCTTAATTACCTCCCGAATTGAGCAATTAATTTTTGGATTATGCAGTAGAAAGAATGTCATATATATGCTCTAGAGTCTTTTTCATTATGTTCCTTTTTGGAGTTTTGAAAGAAGTCAAAGTGATGCTTTCTTGAAAAAGCTCATTATTGTTGTACGGTGTAGAGTCTAACGTACAATTCACGTGCTCCCTCAAAGTGAATTATTTATTACAAGGGCATGTTGTATGTGGTCGTCTTAATACTCGTTCTCAATAAATTATAGGGGAAATTAAGTTTTAGTATTTCTAAGTAGCAATCTTCTTATCCATGATAGTGCAAACTATTGTTAAAATTCAAGAGAAATCTTGATCTGGACTCAGAAAAATCAATTAAACGAACACCAAACCAAGGCTTGCTCGACCCACAACTTGCACTTCCCGCCTCTGTTTCATCCACTCCAGTTACCCTTTACTAACCCACAAAGAATAGAGCAACAATGGTTGAATCTCTCAAAACTCACCCCAAGACGGATGCCCCTTTCACTCCTCTCTCCATTGCGCGCACACACAGTTGGAATGAAAAGCCAATACTGTATAGCATTAGGTCACCTCCAATATTGGACCATGACTCACAAATGGGCCAACACAAAACCGAGGCAAATGGGCTACCACATAAATCAAAGCCTAAACCAAACTACGGGCCAAACTAACCAAAACCAAACACTACCCAAATATTTTGGCCATCCTCAAAGTGTATTGGGTATTTTCCAGATTAAGCCAAGCACTAAGGTGTCGATAAATTATCCGACATTTGTTTTAAATCATTGCCCGAATTTATTGGGTATCAAAACCCGACACAAACATGTTTGCTGTTTCACCTATATCAAGAGTTATCAAGGGTGAATCGATATAAATCTATATTATGCTTGTTTTGTAATTATATTGCTTTTAGAGATTGGGGAGGCTTAATCCATATTAAGTATAATTATTTATTTATTTATTTATTTATTTTGTGGCTTGTGACAGCATTGCTGGTAATAGGATGCAATCTGGAACATGCAAATGCAAAAATTTGCCCACAAATTTGCTCTGGTGTTGCTGCTTACACAACATGCCCAACTTCCGGTGAGAAGAAGCTTACTCCGGCGTGCAACTGTTGCTTTCTTCAAACAGGCTGCAAACTTTTTAAGGCTGATGGAACTTTAATTTGCACAGCGACCTAATGAAGTATGGAGAAGCTAGCCTAAGGGGAATGGAAAATGTAAAGCAAAATTAAATGTGTGTAATTGTCTGTGTTATGTAATAAAATTGCTTCTTGATTGTGTAAGTTTCTGTTTGAAACAAGATGTTATGTCATGATTTCTTGCTTTTCCAAGTATTTGTTCATCTTTAGAAAACAAGTTTCTGTGTTTTACTCTCATCTTTTGTCTCATTTTTCTTTATTGGTATCTGATGTATCTTGGGAACTAGAAAGAGAGAGGTAAAACTAAGAAGGGGTTGAGAATTTGGAAGAAAAAATTCGGGAAAATTTAAATTGCCAGAATGATAAACTAGTTCCTTTAAATTATTTCTTAACAATTTATCACTGACTTGCTGTCGTGGACAAGAAACACAGCAGATGTACATTTTCCTAGGGAAAAGAGTTAAAAAAAAATATAGGCAATGGATTGCTGTTGAAAGGTGAACTAAATCCTGATCTTGACAAAGGTTGCAAAATGTTTTTCTTTTGCGACGTTTAATAAACGTTGCAAAAAGTCTCACTTTTCGCAACACTCAATAAACGTTGCAAAAAAAAGTCTATCGCAACGTTTGACAAAAGTGCAACGTTTGTCAAACGTTGCGAAAAATAAAACTTTCTGCAACACTCAATAAATGTTGCAAAAATGGGTTTATCGCAACATTTTTCTATAAAACGTTGCCAAAACTCATTTATACTAACCAATAGCAACATTCATTTACTAAAATGTTGCCAAAAAACCATTTTATCAACATTTATCAACAAATGTTGCCTATTTAGTGTTGCAAATAACTATTTTTGTTGTAGTGTATGGAATTAAGGCTGTGTTTGATTACTTCCATTTTCCATGGAAAATGGAAAAAAAATTCCATTTTCCAACAAAATCCATGTTTGATTGGCATAAAATGGATGGGAAAAAATTTTCTTGGGACAGTCTCCACGCGCCTTTTTCTTCCAAATTGGTGAAAACCAATTCTCACCCTTCCAACTAGCCATCATTTTTGACTTGATTTTTTTGTCTTTTTTTTTTTTTNATGCAAACGAAGGCCAAACGAACATAAAATTTAAAAATTTTCCAGGTGGAAAATTATACCAATCAAACACACATAATTAACAATTCCCTACAAAACAATTTCTACTCAATTACGTTCCCTGGAATTCATTTTCTTTCCACCCATTTTCCACCCTTCCTATCAAACGGACCCTAAATGTTTAGTCTGTACTATCAAGAGCAATTAATAATACGAAACAGAAAAGGGAAGCAAGGTTCAGCACAAGAACTTGTCAACTTGCAAAACATTTAAAAAATATTAAGAGTATTATATCACAATCTAATGATAAAAATTGTCCAAACTTCAGATGTTAAAGGTCCTAGGCTAAATAGACTTATATACCTTATGCAATGATTAAATTAATTTATATTGCTGGTTTTGTAATAATTGATTGGATCCAGTTGATTTTGAATAAACACCATCCATTAGATATCTGTACATACTATTTTCTACTAAATATGTGCACGTAATCTTATATTAAATAGTATAAGCTGGGCACCTTCAACTGTGTAATTAGTACATAGAGAAAATAGTAGTCGAATGAATACATCTTACTTAGTGTAATTAGTACATCACCACAGATGCAAAACGAAACGAAGTGAAGAAAAATCATTTGTACAGTCGACATTAGATGTGCTATACAGGGCTCGAACAAGTATCCGTTTAAAACATTGTATATTTTCGCCAATGTATTGCCATTGCCAGTAAAATTGAAGCGTAATTATCTTTCTCCGCGTTGTTCTGGGGTCAATCCTCCTTTGCCACAAACAGGACAACTCTTGAGTCCAAATCCTTGGCACTCAAAGCACCTTCACAGTTTTCATTGTAAGTTAGATTAAAGAATCAAAGTGAATGGTCTTATTCTGATGCAGCATGTCGAACACTAAATTTAAATAAATAAATACAAAATTGTGTACAAATCAAGCTCTTGATAAAAAATAAATAAATCAGGGGATATGGAAAACTTACTTCCAGCGCTCGAAAATGTTCCCATTCTTTTTGTTCTTTCCTGTTCCCTAGATTAATACGAGCTCACCTTAAATTAGCCTTCATATCAATTTATCATAATATCATATCAAGAACACAAGGCTGTCTTATAATACAATGCCTTGTCAAATATATAAGAGCAAATTTTATGTAATTTTTTTGAGAATAGATTTTATGAAAAGTAATTTTTTTTAGAGAATGTATTGTTAAAAAGTAGGGAAAAATTATTGACCCACGCACAAAATTATTTTATTTGATGAATTATGGTTCAAAATGAGTTTGAGATAAGCTTTAAAGAATCTCTACCAAGCAAGAAATCGAATTAGATAACTTATTTCCATATATAATATCTTAAGCGTTTAGACGATACCTTACATCCTGAACATTCTATTGCACCTTTGCCTCTACATGTTTGGCACCTACTCGTGATCTGCGAGACATGATATCATATTACACAAAAATACTGCGTTCATTGTAGACATACAAAACATGACTCCATATAAGACCAATTCTATGATGCCGAAAGGCATTCAAAATTTCGACAGGTACCGTATGAGGGTGTCGACATACCCATGAACCAAGTGCTATACGTTCGAGTATGCCATATATATAGAAATTAACGAGGTTTAAAAGTACTTACTGATTTCAATGAGAAGCCACCAGATTTTGCAGCATGTAGTGTAAAAGTCTTTCCTCTCTGTTGCTTTTCACTTTCTGATAAGTTCAATTTGAGCTGAGGGCAACTGATGTACATAAACAGACTGGCCATTTCTCTTGATAGGAAGAACCAAAGATTCTCTTTAATTTATTTTCTTAAATACTTGTGCTTTTTTCCTTCAAGATAAACAGACTGGCTTTTGGAAATGGATAATGAGTTTGTGGCATCCACTTGATTCTTTTGATGGGTCCAAAGTTTTGACAAATCAGCCTAATCCAATCCTGATTTGAACTGGGGATGGCATCGGGTTGGAGAGAGGTCATGGCAGCTTTCATTTTTTTCCTGGAATGTCAAAGATTTTCAAAAGATGATGATTTAAATATCTTTATTTCTACAATCATGCTACACTACCATCTTTGTTGACAGCTTGGTTGACATTCTCTAATAAAAAGACATAAATGCCCTACTTCTATTATCTACTCAAGTCAATATTCTCTATTCCTATTATAGGATAAGTTTGGTTTATT